AACACTGTGAAGAAGGGTGTTGCTAGCATTCCCTTTTTCTGTGTAATGAGCAAAATCAATGTTCAAAATAAGTGTGATGTCTTCAGGAACAGTTTGGTCATATGCTTAGATGTGGAAAAAAATCTTCTATAGATATGTACATTCAAACATTCATTGTCTATTGGGAGAACAACCTTTCTCCAAAACCTGCATTATACAAAGCACTGGAACCAAAAGGTGTGGTAGACACACTCTTCTGATTGAAGAGGCACCTGGCTTTTCCAATAAAGGAATTGCATGTAAATTGAAGTTTTGGCAAGAAGAAGTAAGAGCCTGTCTCCCTGATAAATATTATACCTCCATTAATTCATTGCCTGGAGTTCTTTCAGTGTTGCAGCATGTTTATTAATAACATTATGCAAATCAATTCCATTTAAGATGACGCCTTGGTTAGCCTTTTGCAAAGTAAACTTTCAAGATCAGCTAAAGATATGGTATTAAGACATCAACAAGCTTTTCTAAGAGAAATCTCACAATAGCCTGTGAAGATTTGTCTTAAACATTAGAGGCTCTGGTTTAGGAACTAGCTGCAACCGTGTAAAATAAGCCCAAGTACTTCACAGTGTTAGATATAAATAGTAAGAAACTGGTCACTTTACAAGGGAAATGGGTAGCATAAAAATTTAATAAATAAAATAATAACATAAAATAAAATAAAATACTTCCTATTTGGTGCTGTGATGTTAGGCCTCAGGTTTTTTGCTTATAAGGAGGAATGACTAGGAACAAAACTAAAATAAACTTTCTTTTTATAAAAGCAGTGAAGAAATGATCTTAAGTTTATAGAAGCACTTTCATTCGAAGCATCTGCCAGGAAAATGTCAAGATAAGAAATATATAAGATGAATCCAACTGGCATTCTGTGGATCCCAGTTCATAATATTGTAGCAGTGTGTGAAAAATTCTTGTATTCCAAACAGATCCAGGATATGTGAACAGTAAAGTAGTCAAGCTATGAGAAGCACAGTTTAAATAAACCTTTAAACCTGACCTGATAGAAAAGGTGATAGAAGACTCCTGCTAAAAACAATTATAAAGGATCTCATCCATTTTACAAACTTTCAACTTTTTATCACAAGTTTTTCTTGTAGCTAATATAATTTTTTAAAGAAAAATAATGATTTGATATATTCCTTTGTCACCTGAAATTTAAAAACAACCCAAACAATTTTCTAAATTCAAGGTGTTCTGATACATCAAGGCAAGTAAGATTGATGCACCAATAGCACATATCTTCATGGAAATGTTGAAGGGCAGCAACATGGAAAATTCCAAGTGACTACCATCTGGAAGTATAGAAAGTTCTTTTTTTTAAATATATTTTTATTAATTTTCTTTTTTTACATTGTAAAACATCATGGTATCAACAACGTTCTTGGCATCTATACAGGATTTTGGTTTAAATATCATAATACATTATATTGCATTTGTCTACTACTAAATAATATCTTTAGCTATAATTACTGTTCTTATATTTTTATATAATTTTTATATAAAATTTTATTTTATTTTCTTAAGGATTGTTTCAATTAACATTTTTGTTTCACTTCTTGGGTTCTGTTTGTTAGCCATTTATGCCAATTGTTCCAAATTGTAAAGAATTCAGAGTCGTCTTTTTCTTTCAATTTCATTGTTAGCGTATTCATCTCAGCACTTTCTATTACTTTGTGTATTATTAGTTCTTCATTGGGGGTATTTGGTGTTTTCCATACCTGCGCAAAGGCTATTCTGGCAGCTGTTGTAATATGTAACACTAAGTATTTTACTTCTTTCGGTAATCTTTCTTTGATGGATTCCGGTCTGAGCTCAATCTGATAGCCAGTGATCTCTTTTAACCAATTTTTAATTTGAATCCAGTATGTCCTGGCTTCATCCACCACGTGTGATAAAATGTACCACCAACTTTTTTTGCTCTTCGAACATATGGGACTCATGTTGGAGTAGATTTTTGCCAATCTCATTGGAGCTAAATACCATCTATACAACATTTTATATATGTTTTCTTTGTATGCTGCAGATACCGTTAACTTATAATTTATGTTCCATATTTTCTCCCATTCCTCTAATTCTATAGTGTATCCAAAATTCTGTGCCCATGCAATCATAGTACTTTTGACTATTTCCTCTTCCATTTTGAAATCTAATAAATATTTATATATTTTAGTTATAAGTATTTGTTCCAGTCCCATTAATATTTTATCTAATTGGTTCTGCCCTTTGTCAAATCTAAAATCCTTTGAGTCTTTTTTATATTTATTTTGAATTTGCAAATATGGATGCCAATTGATTATAATTCCATTTTCCTTCAGTTCTTGGTTTGATTTTAATTTCCCTTGATTAGCTAATAATTCTTCATAGCTTACCATTTTCCGTAGGTCTAATCTATTTGGATGTTTTATGACTTCCATGGTTGACAACCATTGTGGGAATTCCATATAGTATTTACCTTTGATTTTTCCCCAAATTGTAATCAATGAGTCTCTTATTAGGTGTTGATTGAAATAGGTATGTATATTACTTTTGTTTTCCCACATGCCAACCTATCAAGAGGTCATGTCCTTCTAATGTTAAGATTCTCTTGTCTCTTAATTTAACCCAATCCTTAATCCAGCTCAACACCGCTGCCTGGTAATAAAGCTCCCATTCTGGTAGTCCAAGACCACCTTTGCTCCTATTATCTTGTAATAGTTTCATTTTAATACGTGGCTGCTTGCCCAACCAGACAAACTTGGATGTCATTTTATTTAGTTCTGTAAAAAAAGATTTCCCTAATTTAATTGGAATCATTTGGAATAGATATATTAATTCTGGTATTCATTTTCAACGTTGCTATTCTTCGTAATATAGATAGTTTCAATTTGGCCCATAATTCCAATTCTTTTCTGATTTGCTTAACCAGTTTAACATAATTGTCCTCTTTTAATGATGAACATCTGGGTGATATCCAAATTCCCAGGTATTTCACCTTTTTTTATTATTTGCAGTCCCATTATGTTTTCTAATTCTACTTTCTGTTTTGTTGTACAGATTTGACTATCATCTTAGTTTTATTTTTATTTATTTTAAATCCTTCCACTTCCGAAAGTATGGAAAGTTCTAAGTGGCACCAGGAAATAAACTAAGTGCCCCTGTCCAACTAGCCAAAATTCATCACTTGCCTTAGGGAAAGCAGTTCCCCTCTTCTAGTTCAGCTTCCTCTAATTTTGAGTTTAAGTCAGAGCCCAGAGGCAAATCTGAGTAAGGGGAAAATTATCAAAATTTGTTGCTATTGAAGAAAATATTTGTTTTACTTTTCTCTTATGTGGCAAGGAAACAGATCTTGTCTAATAGTATGGTACTCAAATATCATGTACACTATCATTTCCTAGACTTTTATCTGAAATTTAGTTCCATACTTGTGCCAACTTGCTGTTCAGATGACAAATGGTAACAAAGAAGGTTCTACCCATAGCTAAGCATCACGGAAAGCCACAGTTTGGATATTCTAACCTTGCAAAGAAACAAAGCCTTTATAGTAAATGCCCATGGAAATGCTGTCCCAACCTTACTAAAATATATAAGAAATTGGCCTATTAGCCAAAAAAGAGAATCCTGTGGCATATTTATGCTACAGAGACTGGGAGGCCTAGGAAAATATTTGGAATTTAGTGAGTTAATCTAAATTTAAAGCAGGATATGGAGTTGAAGTTAGAGATAGAAATGTTAGAGACATGGGGCAAAATTCAGATTAACACTTCTCCATTCTTTAGAAACTCAGAAAAAAGGTACAGATAGTAATAAAATCTCTTTTCCTATTTCTAAGACCACTAATAGGGACAATAATATGGATCTGTGCCAACCTGTATAAGATTGACCACTAATAGGGACAATAATATAGATCTGTATCATGACTTCAGGGTCCATAGCTAAAGATGAAATGTTCCTCACATGGTTCAGTAGTTCACTCAGACAAATTCAAATTCAACTTCTCTTCTTGATTCTTCATAGTTTATAGGTAAAATAGGTAAATTACAACCAAACTTGGGAAAAAAAAATCTCATTTGCTATCTGTAAGGCAGCATAAGTAACCCAGTTCAAATTTTTGGTTTTGAATTCTAGTATGTTTGTAAAGTACTGTAAAGTTGTGTGAATCATCATTGACCTTATTTTGTGTGGGTGACAAAGTATGGTGGCCAAGGAAGTGAGACAAGGAATTGTAATACCAGAAGGATGAAGGAAGGAGGAGAAGGAAACTCTGAGGCTTTAAGGATATCTCTGGTGGTTGTTTTGTGGTTTGATTGTGGTGTCTGAACTGGGCTAGCGTCCCCATGCAAAATTTTAGCTTCCTCAATAGTTCTCCTTTAGGCCAAGAAATTAAGAACAGAAATTTAATAATAAACTGAATGCTAACAATAATTATATGTTAAATATTACCTTTACAATGGTTGTAAGAAAAGAAACATGATTATCAAAACTTGACAGTTCAGTAAATGATGACAGCAGCACAGGTATCATTTTTCAAAAACCAAGAGATAGGCTATTCAACGTATTACAGAAACTGTACGCATATTTTGCTCACTGTTCTGATTTTACTTAAATGTTTAAAGGTTATGACTAGCAATCTGATCAGCGATATAAAAGGGTCACTATGTATACAATAGCTGTGAAAAAATAAAACAAAACAAAAACAAAACACGTTGGGAATCATTTAGAAAGGAGGAAAAACTGAAATTGCCAAAGGTATAAACTCAATTCTTGGGTATTGTCTTTGCAATGGACACTGCATCTCTATGATACATCACATAAGTTTAATTTGGAACAGGGAAAGAAGCAGAAGAAAGCAACCTGGGTGGGCTTACTAGAAAAAATCTCACTAGATTATTTAAACCAAAGATGCATTAGTACTAAATAATATCGGATAATATTTGAAGGCTCATTAAAGTTGCTTCTGAAACCTCCCCAAAGTACATCCCAAAAGGTATTTACCTGCTGTATACTAGGCAGCCCATGCTATTGATCTCCTTGTCCAGCTTGTATCTCCGGAAGTCTTCCCAAGCATCTTTAAGAGCAGTGATGGCCATTATAACACAGACAGGCAACACAGATATTCCTGGCTCAAAGACATTGACTACTGGCACGAAATTAAGAACAACGATGGCCACAAAATATATGTTGGCAAAGCGGTGAAACTGTTCAAAAACATTTTTAGGGATAAAAGACAAGAATGTGTATCGGGTGGTCTTGATTTTGTTGCCTGTACAATGTCTGTTTGGATTTTCTTTCCACTTGGCTTCGAAGAGCAAGTTCGACAGCACAACTCGTTTAGTTTCTTCATTTCTTTTCCCTTTCCTTCTCGTCACAGATTCCACACTCTCAGTCTCTGAGACAACGCTCTGGCAGCACGGTCTTCTGAACCAATGTATATCCCGTAGGAATGTTACTGAGCACATTTCCTCAACATCTTCCTGCCCCTTCAAAGCTACACTTAAAGAATTAAAACACAAACTATTCCAGTTGGTTTATTCCAGGGAGAAGTGTCAGGCTGCATTTAATTGAGCCAACTGCTTTTGCTTGTTTTAGTCAACACCTGTTGAAACACAGAGGTGTCATCCTTCTGCAAACCAGTTTTGCTGCCATTAAAAATAGTGATCCTGGGTCCTAGTGCCTGCTTTGCTGTTGATCTGGATTTTTTTTTTTCTCGGCTGTACAATGACACTGAAACTTTCTGAATAGTATAAACTAGAAGATAGAAGCTCACTGGCCTCTTATTTGAATCTTAGATATGTATGGATTATATGGCCTTTATAATTATAAATACTTGAAATTTAAAACAACAACTCCAAGCAATCACATTTCTCTGCATGAAAATTACATGCAGAGCAACTTGTTGGTACACTGTTTTCCATAATTTGTATGCCGTTCCTCAAAATGCTTGCTGTCTGCACTGTCAAAACATTATTCAAAGCAATGTCCAAAGGAATGGAGATATATTCTTTTCTGATGGAAAGAGGAGTACCTGTAGAATGGCTTCACACATTACCCTAAACCATGCTTTAATTATGGATGATTAAAGAGACCACCTGAATTGGCTGAATTTGTTGAAAGCAATAAGCTAAAACCAGGTATATTATACGATTGCTTATGTGAAATAAATCATACTTCAAATAACCATGGCATAATCCAAATCCAAATAAACGTAGCATAACAGTAAGATTGAATTTTGTGATAATCATCATAATTGATGTTTGAGGTACAATTTTTAACAGGAAATTGAATACACCAACAAAATTGCAGCAATATTATAAAGATAAAATTATCTTCTGCCACAAATTTTATTTTGATAGTTATTGCTTACATCAATATGAGGGATGGGTTAGGGATATCAGTAATAATAAGATAATGACAACTTGTAGACTTACTTATTGTATGCCTTTGTTTTAGAAGAATTGATCTGCTGATCCAGTTTGTATCTCTTATAATCTTCAGTGCCATCCTTAACTGCTATAGCTAAAAGCACAGCAATTAAAGGTACCATTGTTATATCCCTCTGAAAAACTTCCAGTTGTGGGAACCAGTTGATGATCACCAAGAGGAGGAAATAAATGTTGGCCAACCTAAAAAGATAGAATCATTAATGGAGTTGTTACATTCATCATCTTTCTTATTGTTCTGGTGAGGCAATGAGATCAATCAATCCCTTATTTGTTCATTTGCTTTAATGGCTAAACTTAACTCTGTCCAAAAACTATGCCTATGGAATGCATTTACCATGGTTAAACCAAATTAAATTTTTGTGTTTCCATCATGCACTGAACCACACTAACCATGCAGAGTGATTTTGCATGAAATATTAGACTCAATTGAGATAAGTTACTTTGTGGCACAGTGGGAAGTCAGCTGTAGCATCTGTGTGGACAGGGTTGAAATAGGCAAGATGGTGTACAGCAGAGTTGCCAACCCCTGGGCCAAAGACTGGTATCCATCTGTGGCCTGTTAGGAACTAGAGTGCTCAAACAGTGAGCTAGTGAGCCAAATAATTATATAATTATATAATTAAATATATACACATACATACATACATACATACATACATACATACATACATACACACATACACACACATATGCATATGTATATGTATATGTATGTGTGTGTATATCCCTAACCCCCAAGTATCTGTTATTCTGTTATTTCCCTTCACAATGTGAAGAACATTCTTATGCCCAAATGAAAAACTATATGCAGATTAAAGCCATATAAATGTTGACCTACAGACTATTGACAGCCACAGGCAGAGCTTCATGGCTTCAATTTCAATTTCCCAAGCAGGTTTTGGGATGGTTTTCAATTATTTTGGATGATCCACTCCACCAGAGAAAATGTATAGCTGCTTTGTCATGACCCAGTTGCTATGACCGGGCTGCTCAAGACTAGTCTATAATTTCACAGGTCAGATGAATTTAATTAAAGCTTCTTCTGAAGGGTGCTTAGAATAGCTTCCTGAGGATCTGGACCATCTAGTTACTTAAAGAAGTGTTATTTATAGCTCCCAAATGAATCACCAAGCCTCTCCCAACACACTGGAATTAGGCAATGTCTAACACACATCACAATCTATTGTTCAAATAGCCCGAGAAAAGATTGTGTAGTATCTCATGTCATACTAAATGAGCTGCTCTTTAAAATGCTATTGGACTGTCCCTTATTATTCATTTTATAAATCATCGCCCATATCTAAATATGGAATTCAGTGTTGCTTGTGTGACTTCCTGTTGCACAATGGGACTTGGATTCAATCCTTCCCTTCCGCAGTCTCCCCCATTAGATATGGATTTTCTTCTGACTTTCTTTAAACAAATTTTAGAATGTGTGTATGTGTGTATGGAGGGGGGAGAAGGTGAATTTTCCTCACACATCCACAGATGATGCCAAAGAGGAGTATTAGATTCCACTCTAATACACTGAACAGAACAGAATAACAGAGTTGGAAGGGACCTCCAATCCCCTGCTAAACAGGAAGCCCTATACCATGTCAGACAAATATTGTCCATTCTCTTCTTAAAAACCTCCAGTGATGAAGCACCTACCATGTCTGGAGGCAATTCGTTCTACTGATTAATTATTCTGTCAGGAACTTTCTCCTTTGACTTAAGTTGGTTCTTTCCTTGATAGGTTTCCATCCATCACTTCTTGTCCTGCCTTCAGGTGCTTTGGAAAATAGATTGATCCCATCTTCCTTGTGGCAGTCCTTCAAATATTGGAACACTGCTATCATGTCACCCTTAGTACTTCTTTTCATTAAACTACACCCAGCCAATTCCTGCAAACATTCTTCATACGTTCTAGCCTCTAGTCCTCTAATCACCTTTGTTGCTCTTCTCTGCACTCTTTCTAATATACAGTATTTATACACTGTATAAATAATTCCCACTTTTAGTTCATTGAATATCAGATGTCAATCAGATCTATAATAGAGAGACTTTGAATAGATCAAAATCTAGCTTAAATCTTTCAAGGTTTCGGCATTGTCACTTAAAATCTCATAACATTTTGGTTATTTTTAAATTTTATTTTATTGTAATTTTTGGTGCTATGTAGGAAAATCATATACATTAGTGTTTCTATATCTTGGCATGCTGACTGAGTTGAAATCCACATGTTTTAAACTTATCAAGGTTGTGAAACACTGGTGAATATTATTGTGTGTGCCAATGCTGTGTTGCCTGTTCCTGACTTATATAATGGAAAACATTTGATGACAATCCAAAGGAGGAGCTTGAAATCTGCAATAACGTTCTGATTCTTACCTCTCTAAAGGCATGATATGCTTTTTTGTATGACTCTTTTTTTTGAATACTTTTCTTCCATTTACTGAAAACAGATATAAAATTAACCATTATTGTGGTTTTCTTATGGTGCATTTTCATACCTGTGAAATGGTGCATTTTCATACCTGTGAAATTGTTCAAAGAGATTTTGGGGTACAAAGGTCAGCAAAGTATATTTTGTGGTTCGTATCCCATTTTTGCAATATGTCTTCAGGACTCTTTCCAACTCCTTTTGAAATCTAGCATTACTAGGAAAGACAATCCTCCATCTGTCCCAGTTGTGTTTCTGGTTCTGCCTCGGTTTGTCAGAGGATAAGAGAGGGGTTGATTCCAGCTGTGAACTTTCTTCTTTTGGCCATTGCCAATGGTACGTAGTTGAGTCAACTGGTAAAGTCATGGTCACAGATAGGGGATGTCTGAAACACAAATGCAGAACAGGAGCTGAAAAACAATTCTAGCCTGGAAGTGAATGCATTTCTTATTAGTGTCCGAATTCACATGGCACCTGCTGCATGAAAGGCTACCCTGTCCAAGAAAAATGCTTCCCAAGAAACAAAAGAGGAACACATGGCTAACTAGGCAGGAAATGATGAAAGGCACACAGAATTACTTGCAACCTTCATAACTAAATGATTTATAGAGCAAACAAACACAGTGAACTATGTCATAGCAGATACTGACATTTGACAACCTAAGGGGAAATCCCACCTGGCTTGCTGTGTGCAATGAACATGTAGAGAAATTTCTATCTGAATGAAGCTCTGCTCTCTTTGCCTCCTTGTTGTTCGAAGAAAGGAGCGAGGTTGGTGGCGGGGCAGAGAATATAGGAAAAAGCAAAAACAGAGAGAAATATAATCTGATATTCATTTTTGTCCTTATTGTTAGAAAAACCCTTTGTGATAAGAAAGGGTTAAACAGTTGCTTAGAAGATAATTTCCCTGGAGGGGAAAAATTAAAAGCAAGGATAATTACAACTTACTACACACACCTGGGCCTTGTAAGCAGCAAGTACATCCCATAGTCACACAGAGTGTGCTCATCTATTATTTTAAATCCAACCCACTCCTGAATACTCAGTATTTCAGTTTCAACTCTCTACAACAGATGAAAACATAGACAGTCAATGGTTTAAACCTCTAACCAAAGCCCTAATGATACCTCAGCAGCTTTCTTGTTAATTTTTAAACCCTGATGCAATCAGGACACATGGCAGACATTTGGAATTTGGAAGCCTGGAAACATAATCTCTGAGTTGTGGTGTAACCTTTTACCACTAAAGCCAGCATTTTAGGCAGCCTCTAACTCTTTCACTTTTGTATAAAATGTGTATCTCATTTGAAATTGATACTGTCCTGGAAACCTATAGTTTGTAGAGATCTTTATATTTTCTTTGTATTTTCATTCAAAGACCAGCTGTTTCTCTCATCCGTTTCTATTTTACTAGTGTAAGAACTGAGTTTTGGATACAAAAGGACTGAGAAGGATTGCTATGAGTTGGAGAAAAGTAATCAGCCACAGGTTTTTTTCATCTCTTGAAATGTACTTCGTCTTTTTGATTAAAAAGCATTTGGAAAAGCAAATTCAGACAACACACAATTTAAAATATAGAGTGCATTTTACAC